CCTGCTGTGTCTTGTAAAGCAGAAGCTGTGTGAAAAGTGGGTGAGAAGGATTTCTCTCTGTCATTAGTTTTAGATCACTGTAACTCCCTGCAGGACATATGCTCAGCTGCCATAAATGGGTATAAGTTAAGTGACTTAACTAGAGCTTTGCCACTATACCTCAGTTAAAGATCTAGTCCAATGACTTCCATGGCATAGACTTGTTCTCACAAGTGCAAGGAAGATCAGAATCAGGCACTTAAGACTGAAATTTTTAAAACTTCCTTAGGAGTATAGATACCCAGTTTCAGTCAAATTTGGGGGGGCATTGAGAATCGTGTCCAAGTCTTTTGGGTTTCTTTGAATATCAGAGCTCTGCAGATCTAGGTCAAAATGCTAAGCTCACATCAGAAATGCTTCTCGTCTGCTGTGCCTACATACACACACACGTCCATTGACAGAACATCAGCCTGAACTGCCATGTTAACTATCTGGTTTCAAAAATCTGTATAATCTCAGGTGGAAAGTATGTCAAGGTCTGAGCCCTAGCCCGTTAATGGAGAAACATCACTAAAGAGCTGAGATCCAGGAGAGTTTTAAACATGGAAGGCAAATCAGATAGCAGGGTTGTACTCCACTCTGTGGATCCAACGCCAGAATTTTGCCATGAGGTCTTATCAAAGTGGCTAGAGGATTCATGCACTGAATAGAGCAACCCCTGTGCTCACATGCTAATTATGTATATAGTGAAATATGTGTGCTGTTAAATTAACTTTTTAAAAAGGAAATACTGGGAAAGCATCATTAGGCATATTATAACATTGGGGAATATGCGCTTTCCCTTTATAATTCAGACGGTTTGCATTTCTCTTAACCATTCTCTGTAATTTGTGTCAGTGCATCTGTGGCTTACAGGAGCCTGGCTAGCATGAATAGCTCTTCTGGGAGGAAGGCTCATGTGCCTGCCTAGCTCTCTTTAATGATACATATACCCTGTGTGTCTGTGCTTCTGCCAAGCAGGCTGTTTCATTTCTTTTAAGCCCGCAGTTTGAAATCTCAATCACTGGGTGAACCTCATTTGTTGCAGCTTCTCCCAGCCCCAGCCTCATGCTGCTGAACTCACTATTTCTGTGAGTTACTGAGGTGGAGACAGTTTAAGTGGGTGTAGCCAATATGAAGAGTGCAGCTAAATTGGGTGTTTCAGTGTAGGATGAGATAATGTGGCAATTGGCACTATTTTAAACATATTTTGCTCATTTTCACTGAGTATGAGTATGAGTGTCATGAATATGAGTATGACTATCCTGAGCCATTCCAGGAACTTAGCTGTTATTTCACTTCTCAGTTTAGTCTAGTTTCATTTATTTCTTACATAGGTGGTTTGTAAAAAAAAAAAAAAAAAAAAAAAAAAGATCCACAATATTAGGGACCTCTGAAATGCAGTGAAAGTAGCAAGCAGATTTCCTAAAACATCTCGCAGGTTGTTGTGTTAAATGTGCCTGGAAGAAGAAAATGAGCATTCTGTACGTAGGAGGCAAAAACTGAAGAAGTGGGGTAAAATACAGCATCTCTGAAGAGTTTGTATTATACCTAATTACTATACTTTCCTTTTTCTACCTCCAGCTTTCTTTGGAAAGTACCTTAATGAATATAATGGCTCCTATGTGCCTCCTGGCTGGAAAGAATGGGTTGGATTACTTAAAAATTCTCGTTTTTACAACTACACTCTCTGTAGAAATGGAGTAAAGGAGAAACATGGATTTGACTACTCCAGGGTAGGTCCTATTGCTTTACTTTGATTTTTACCCCCTTGGACATGATTGTAAGGAGGCTATATACACTTTCTGGATTCAGTCTATTTAAAGCTTTCTTTTCATATTTGAAAGCCATTGGTCATAAAACCAGCTTCAGTTCATGAGGCAGGTCCTTCATACTGAATACTATCTTTTCATTTCTTTTGTGTCGTGTTATTTAAAATGTTCTTAGCAGCAATGGGAGCATAAGGTAGCCATCCTGAGACTGTAAAAGCTTCAATATGTCTTGCAAGCTGAGAAATGGATTTAATTGCATCATGACTTGTATTCCACTGCCAGGTAATTCAATTAACAAATGTTGGGCCAGACTAAGGTCCGTTACACCAATGTAAAATTTATTTCAGTGGAGTGTAAATGAGATTAAAAACTGATGCCCTCTACCTATAGGGGGTTTTTTGTCTTGTGTTTTATATAAATTATTTATTTATTTATTGGAGAGAAATCATTTCATCATCATAGTAGGCTAATTTAGGGGAATCTATAATACCGTGAAATATGGTATATTCACTCAGACTTCAGAAGGGCACACATGAATGGTACTGAAGTACTTGTGGTTGCACTTCACCGTGACTGAGCTCACAGTGTTGTGATACCCGTACCCTGACGCAACTCCACTGCTTCTTTTCTCATCTAAAACATTTTATAGCTCTCATAGATAAATGACTGCAAGTGAAGAGTATGTTTACTTGAGCAAAACATGTGCATTTGCCAAGGCGCACAGCTTGTATGATTTTCTAAAGTAGGTTGCAGAGTCTGTGATTTATGTCTGTAAATAATTTATCGGTAAACAGCTTTGGTTAGAAAACTGGAACCTGAAAGAAATGGTATAAGAGTGAAAAAGGAGGGAAAGAAGTACATATCAGCAAAATGACATCACCTACCTTTGGATTAACAAAATGTTTAATAATGTTAATTTTCATTTTGCCATCATACTCCTTGTCAGGCTCGACTTACACACTTACAGGCAACACACATACTCGTGGTGGTATTTTGATTTGGTGATGGCACATACTTAGAAAATGTTTCTTTGCTTTTGAGTTTAACATGCCTTGTGTTGGAAGCTAAACGTAACATGTTTCTAAGGTATCATTTTCTATTACCAATTGTGGAGAGGGAAGGACAACTCGGGAACAAAATGATGTCTCCCTCCTATTTCCTTTCTAGCCTGTTAAGGATGGGAGTGCTTTTAGCTGCTAAATTACCAGAAATATTGTGATGGAAATCTCTTACATACATGAGACAGTATTAAGTAAATTATTTTTAATGGTTACAGTTTCCCATTGTATCAAAGGAGCCAGTGCGAGAAATGACACTCCCCAAAACCTTCAGCTCTATTTGCTATTTCCAGCACTTCGAAAACATGTGCATTTTCATTTTGTGATATTCATCATTCTTATGTATCCCCTTTTATTCCACAAAATTCTGTTAGAAAATGAATGTTCCAGTTGACCTTCTTGTCTTTGCATATAAATTGCTGCTGTATTTTATTGACAGTAGTCTGCAAAGCAGCAACATGTACTGATGGCAACATTTAGATATCAGGAATCAATCAGAAGTTGAAAAAATATGACTGAACACATTTCCTTGCTCTTCTTTATTATTATTTTTTTTTCTTCCGGTGACTACATTTTCCAGTAAGGGACCTGTCTTCAAAGAGATTGTTTTAATGACCCTTTCTACTTTTATACAAGAAATATCTTTTTTTTCCCCAACTTGTATGTCTCCACTCACGTATAAGTTGGCAAAACCCCTTAGTGGTTGTATGAACAGTTGATCTATTAGTTGTAAAATTGAAAGCTGTGTAATCCAAATTTGACTGAAAGTTTAAAGTTAAAGAGTCAATGCCAGGATAAGAGTTATATTTTTCAAAACGGAAGTTCTGTTTGTTAGAAATACTTCTTATACTTTCAATCCATTACATTTAAAAAAAAACCACCCTAGTTTATTCATTGTTAACTCTCACATTTATCATTGCAGACTAACATTTTTCAAAAGGGGCCAGTGAGTAAACCACATTCTGAAAATCAGGCCATATCAAGGTGTCTCAAATTTTGCACCCAAATGTATTTGTTTGAGGCAACCGGAATCATCAATCATTTTTAAAACTCTAATCCAAAAATTTGCTAGTCAGTGGGCGTATCTACACGTGCCCCTGAAAGCACAGTACCCGCGGGTACTGGGCAGTTCTGGCGGTGCACTGTTATTTTTAGGGTCTACATCGCCATAGCTCATTGCTACAGTGACACAGCATGGGTGTCACAGTTTGTGCCTACTGACACTATGTCGCTGTAGCGTCTCATGTAGGTGCGCTCAGTTTTACTTTTCCACTTCCTTACATTTTAACTTTATCTTATGCAGTCATATTTGGATTCTCCTAACAAGTAGGCCTGCGCGAAGCAGCTAGTATTTGCCTCGGATTTGGATTTGGCCGATTTAGGGAACAGTGATTTGATTCGGTGATTCGAATCACTGTCCGGAATCAATTTGGCCAAATCTGATTTGGGGATTCGGCTGCTGCCGAATCACCCA